TTTTTTTTTTTCTTGGCACTGTCATGACGGTTGACAGCATAGATATGCAGCTGTCATTGGGTGTTTAGTTTGGATGTGTCACTAAGGTTAGGTGATTTAAATGCTTGCTTCACGTTACAGATCTAATTGGTGCCCAAGTCTGAAAATTCAGTTACTTCAGTTTACCACCTCCTTCGACTGCTGCCAATATTTACTGCTAACCGCAGTTGTTAACAGATGCATTTCCAGCAATAAAGATTTTAACCAATATCAGCGCTAAACAAAGCTCTATTATTGTTTGATGCAGACGATTAATCTGACCTCAAAGACTGTCGTTTAGTAGACTCAGGGCTTGAGCAGCTGCAATAAATTTTTTTAATTTTCTTAGACTGGCAAAAAATCAGTACTTACGTACATAATAAGATGCAGTTTTAGGCTTACTGGTTGTTGGTATCGATCTGAATTATTAGCTGTAATGAGTATCAACTGTAATTGACTAATTCTTTATATTGGTTTCGTCTCGCTTATCCTTCTTTGAGTGCAAATATTTTTTTTTATAATTCGGTCGTTCAACGGTTTAGTTTACGTTCGATGATTAGCTGCTGTTAACCTTGCATAGGTGATAACTGTTCTGTAAAACTTGGATTTTTTTTTTTATTTTTATTCATGAGATTTTAAACGTAGGCTGTCCAACGTAATGCACCGGTTAACAGTTCGATTTCCGTCAACATTACTCCTTTCTTCATGTTCTCAGGCAAATCGGTTACAGTCGGCGCACGTTTTAAGTTCAAAAGTCTCCCTAAGTAATACAGATAAGGTTCCTAATTTTTCGATTTTGAGAAAGCATTAGCTACTAGATGTGCAGGTGCTGGGTTTAGATGTTTATCACGTTTAGAAACTGTAACATTTTAAAGAAACTTTTTTTTAGGCAAAAAAATTCTTTGATGGATTTCATGTTGGCGGACACCGTGGATCGCCTCTTGTGGTTCCGGAGAATACCATAGAAAGTTTCAAAGAGGTATCTTTTAAATTGTACAGCTGAACAGAAATGATAGAATGATTGCAGGTTTAATTAATCTGAAATTTTCTTTGATATGTAATCGCTTTTTCACACATTATAGCGCATTTCTAGGCTCTTTCATCGAAGATGGATCTTGTAGAATTTGATTTAGCGTTGTCGAAAGATGGTGTTGCTGTTATAATGCATGACGATAACTTATTGCGAACTTGTGGGGTTGATGGCCTTGTTTCGTCTTTTACTTTGGAAGAACTCGCCAAGCACGATGCTGGACGCACATTTTACAGAGACAGGTAAAGGACAGTTGTTTTTAGCTGAAGTAGCTGAGTTATTTTTTTTTTTTTGTGTTTATCTCTTAGGTAACCTAAAAAATTTAAACATAGGATTCAAATAGACTCTGTCTTCGCCATCACTTTTTCCTTTATATCATTGTAGAAGTTCTCATTTCCTTTTATTGATTTTTCAGGGCGGATAAAATTGAATGTAAAATTCCTACCCTGAAAGAAGTAGTCGAATTTTGTAAGACTAACAAACTCCGAATGCTTTTTGACGTGAAGGATGGAAGTTTAAAGGTTCTGTCTTGTCCTTTTATGGTGACTCCCCATTTATTGAAATTTTGTACAAGTTTTTGGCGACTGAATTTATTTGTACCTTCTACTTTCTTATTTAGATGGTTTCACAAATAGTGGAAATTATCAAAGAGGATGATTTGTTTGACCAAGTAATAGTTTCATCATTCTTCCCGTGGGTTTCATATGCTGTCAAGAAAGCGGAACCACGCATTCTAACCGGTAGAAAATATTCCCATTTGTTTATTAATTCAAGTCCCAGTTTGTCGGCTTTATTTCACGACAACATTTCTCGCTGTAATTTTTCCATCTATTTATGGTGAGGAAAGATTGTTTTTTAGGAATTACGTGGCGCTCGTATTTCTTTAGTTACACTGATTTGGACAACTGTGTCAAACGATTCAGTGGTCTAATCCATTACGCAGCAGTTCTTGTAGATATTATAAATATGAAACTGCTTCTTTCTATTTTACCAAAGTTTTTAGGGGTAGAAATGATGCTAACACATGAACAAGAAATATCTGGGTAATCGCCTTTTAAACAACAGTTTTTTTATTTTAAGGTAGCAATTTTGTTTTGAGATACTTTCTTTTTACCATTTATTTTAAGACGTAATGACTAATGGTTCTGATTACTAATTTTTGAGGTACCGTTTGCTAACGAATATTCAGATTGACATATTTAAAACAGGCCTTCTTTTGACGACACTGTACGAACTGACAGTTCACTGTTAATGGTCTTTCTATGAAAGTGTTTTCCGTTTGCAGGGCGTTAGTGGACAGAATGAAGAAACAAGGGATTCAGGTGGTTGCTTGGACAGTGAATAACAAGGCACAGATGATGTATTACTTGGATGTGCTTAAAGTTAGTTGTTTGTAATTGGTAATCACGGTTCCTGTTCCTATTAAACAGCGTATCTCCATACAAAAACAAAAAAAAATCATTCATTTCTTTTTATCTCGATGCTATAATTTTGGAGCATTGTTTTTCACTTTTGTTCTTTTAGGTCCCTTTCCTAACTGACGATCCTCGACTGTTTAAAGATCTCGATAAAATACGCGAGCTGACTAACTCAAACTAATAAGCCTTATATTTTTTATCTAGTAAAGCATCGTACTTTTAACCGCTCTCTTTTGATTTTCAACTTATGTGTGTAATTGTATTTTAGAAGTAGAAATAATTATTCAGTGTGTCAAGAATATCTAGTTTTAAATCTGATTCTAGTTGCATTCCATTTGTTTAGGTTTTTTATTAGTGCAATGATCTGCCTCTGAATTTTCTTCAGTGTTGGTCATCTCTAAAAGGGTCTCGCCTCGTGTCTCGAAGTTTTTTGGAATAAGCTATTAATTTTTGCAGATTCCTCCTAGTTTGTGAGACGTCTACGTAACCTGGTAATTCTTGTTGTGAACTTAGTCACTTATTAATAGGCTTAGTGCTATTTGTAATAGTTAAAATGATAGCAAACTTAACTGAGAGCAAGGTAGACTTTTCGCGTTACAGTTTTACATTGTTTCATAACTTAATTATTACAGTGGGCCAAAAAATAAAAGATCATAAATGTTAATTGGTTGTCAGAGGCTTTTAGCCTTGCTTTCTAAGTTTCAAAGTTTAAGTGTGCACATATGGGCATCTTTATTTATGCAGGTTGGACTGTATTGCTTCTTCCAGTTCTTCTCCATAATAAGGTAAACCGTAAATAAATCCAGTGAATAAGCATTAAAATTAATGGTAGGTAGAGTAAAGCATGTACGGTTCCTGAAAGTTTATGCTAAGTATCGGAAAAAGAATAAGGAGATTGAGCGTAAGAATATCTTCTTTCAATGCATTTTGTATTTGACTGCATTTGGTTTTTTTGTTCATTAGTAATTTCAGTACAGTTCACTACGAAATGAGAATTCTCAAAAATGGCTAACTTACCAAAAACGACGACAAGAAATACTGTTTTGAAACACGTTTGAACTATGAATGAATCCATTGTTGCTAAGGTAATGATGCCGATTAAGACTGATATGGAGGCTTGAGATACAGGCCAACCAACTGCTCCTAATGCCCCAACTAAGCGCCAATAAGGAGTGCTTAGTAGGTTGCTAAAATTGCTAGAGTTTTCCAGTTAAAATTTTTGTAATGACAGAAATATCTTTTTGGTAAATTTCATTCTGCGCCATCATTTATAGGAAGAAGAAACTACTTGAGAAGAAACCTGTCATCCAAATGCTTTTTTTTTCCTTCCGTCATGTAGCCATAAGTAATATGAGCTGCAAAGTCGACACTAAATCCAACAGACATGGCAATCGTTATCATTGAAGTTGCATCTAGGTTGACCTTCCACCAAGTCATGAAGCCGATTACACCAAATGCAATTGAGGCGATGTTTAAGGCTACTACTAAGGCACACAATGGCTGAGGAATTAAAATCAAGGAGATTGGTATCATTACCGCTAAAATTGGACGGTTTCACAAGTCGGCTTTACTGATGCAAAGCTTTCTAAGGCAGATTAAAAAGTTTTTCATTGATAATATCAAAAAATCTACCAATGGAGATATATAGGTCTTGTAGTGTTTGTGGCCACATAATTTCAAACTGGTCTGCCAGCACCCATAACGGCGTGTAGGTACTCATGTTGTAGTCATCTTTATGTGCGTTAGCAATGCCTCTAAACTGTCATTTATCAGTGAATATCGATTTTTAATTGGCACGATTAATAGGCCTTGTTGTAACGCGCATTAGCAAATTTTGTTTAATACTTATATTCAGTCGTAAATGTTAGAAAACGGCAGGAATTTTAGCTGATAAAAGAGCTCAACTCACCGAATAATTCGAGCGCAGTTCATAATTCTTTCATCCGTTGGCAAGTCTACAAGTTGAGTCGTAAATCGAAAAGCCCGAAAAGTACCGTTTTCACTGTACAAAATATCATGTGCATACTTTTCGTTAGCCATCAGAAAGCCTTTAAGGTTGTTCTGGAAGTCCTAAAGTTGTGCCTTTTACAGAGCATGCGGTGTATGACTTTCCAAATAAAATCTATTTTACTGCTCACTTCTTCGTTCTCGTTGAGATCTTCCCAAAAATCACCGAAACCAAGTTGTGCCAAATATTTTTGGTACGCAAAATACCAGAAATCAGTCGAGTTTCTCCCGCGACTACAGACCGAGTTTTCCACCTCTTCAAGAGCAGCTAGAAATTTATTCCTTTGCTCTTCGTTACCCATATTTGGTGGGTGCATTATAGCGACATCAATTTTTGAAACATCTTCAGGGAACAACTGTGATCGTATTTCAAAAAATCTGCGTGAAGGCGAATCTTTTCGTATGATGTTGACGGGCTGAAATGGCATTGTAACTGGAGTAGATCTGTCAGTTAACTCTTAGAATAAGAATTCTTCAAGTAATGTGAAAAAAACATTTTAAAAGTAAGTGAACGATAATTTTTTTTCTCTTATTTTTTTCACTCATTCCTAACTTTCACTCAAACACTCGTTTACTGTGTATGTAACTTACGTCAAAACCGACAACTACTCTTTGAACACCTTCATAAGCTATCCAAACATATGCAACAAACGAAAAAAAGGCAAAAAGCTGTATGATCGGATGGGCAATAAATGGAGCATAGAGATCTTCAAAAAATCGTTGATACCATAGACGGTTGTCGTCAGTTTGTTTCTGTAATATTAAATTTTGTATAAGAAGGGTAAGAAGTTTCAAAATGACAACCTGTTTCAAGTTTTTTATTTGTTTGTTTTTCATTCTTATTTTTCGCTACTTTAACACAAAAGAGCCAAAAAAAATGTTATGTTTAAAAATAAAAAGGTACGTTTCTGTGGAAGACATTTTTTGTTCCAACGTATCGCTCTATACGGCTTCCCATATTAAAGCAACGCTGCATGCAGTTGCATTCTTCTGAAAAAAAAAAAAATGAATTACTTTTTCATTATGTCTTTCATTAATAGCACCTCAAATGCAGGGAAAGTGGTTTGATTTAGTAACTTTTTTTCTAGCTAATTCATTGGTCAATATTGGAACCAGTGAGTGTAAGTCCATTTCGGAGTCTGTTACTTGAGACTGATGCTGACAGTGCTAGGTAAGTCACTGAAGTGTTACATCTCTTTACCCGCTATTAAGGTCGTAATTAACATACTTTAAAGAGAAAATTAGATTTACTGATGGAAAGTCATGACGCTGCTAATGTGCTCTTTGCACTTTCCTATTCGTCATCAGTAGAATGGGCATATGCAGCAGTAAAAGGATTTTACAACAGTATTTATATTTTGGTTTTCTGTATGCAGTTTTTGTGTATCAGATTAAGATTCTTTGAGAAAATTCTTTACATTATACTCAACAAGCCGATACGTTTGTATGAAGAATCCAAAAAGATACCAATTTCAGACAGCGGTTTAGTTTTGATCCATAAAAGACTGTTACGGTTTGCCTTTTCCCATCGTCCTTGAATTGACAGACAGGCAACGAATATTGTTAACGAGTAGCAGAAAATAAAACAAATTGCTGCTGACGAATAATAACAGAAATAGATTACCTATAAAATATTACGACATATAGAGATAAACATAAACTATGTAACAAATGTAAATCAATCTAAAAAGTAGTTTATTGTGCTTCCGAGAATTTTTTTAAGACATAAGATCGATTTGAACTGTCAGCTGAGGTTAACTGCATGTTTTAAATGACCCTGATTTTGCTTGAATAAGATTTTCTTTTTTTTTTTCTTCTCGCCTTGAAGTCTCTAATTTCTGTCGGAATTTTGAAAGAATCGGTCAGACTGTTAAAAACCGAGTTGTAGTTCAGGTTTACTGATAATAGTTATTCTCGTAGCACTAGCAGTTAAAACGTTCAATTAAATGAAGCGTTGGTAGTGTTAATATGAAGTATCTTCCACACTTCTAAGAATTTATTGTAAATGAATGTAATTGATGCCTACTGCTGGTAACGGCGCTATTGCACCGATCAAGAATGCTATTGCATCTGTCAGTGAAGTGATACTAATGGATACTGCCGCGTGCCGCATAGATTGCTCAATTCGTTCCTCAACACTAAGTTGCCTGCTCGTTTCGTGCCATGCAGCCAGCATCAGAAATGTATCATCGATCCCAACAGCTAATAAACTGTTTGCATTACATACGATGATTGAATGCAAATAAAGCAGTTTCAAAAAATGACTGTCATTCAAACTGAAAAAACTTTAAAAAAAAAAAAACAAGTTTAAATTTTCTAATCTGTTTATCAAACCCTGAAAAAACTCACTGAGGCTAAGAAATGGCATAACTGTAGCTATATCAACAAATGTGACATCTAATAGAAGCAGTAAACCCATTGCAGAAATTATTGCCATAATTGTGACAATAACACCAATAATTCCCATCAACGGTTTTGAAATTACCCAATCGATCAATGGAATTATACGTCCACTGTAACCAACCCAGTTGATATTGAAGGTACAAACGACGGAGAAGATGATGAGAATTGTGAATGTTAACGCAAAGCTGAAAAGTCGGTTAACTTTAATTTGCTGTATTAAACTTTGCAATTTCATCAGATGATCACGATATTCTGTTATGTCGACAGTACGGTGAAAAGCAGTTGTTTTAAAGCCATACACTCGTATTTAATAAGATCGGGAAACAGCGAGCTTTAAGAGTAATAGTCTAACCAGGGGGCTATTTGTCGACTAGTTTCAACAAGTTCCACTTCAAACGTATCTGAGTGAAAGTAATAAATGTCTAGTAAGGTCGTCGGCGTTTGTTTCCTCCTCACTTTTTCGGTTATAGCCATTAAAAAATTGCTGTAAATTTAGTTGAAGTTCAGCAACACAAAAAGTTGCATAAAAAACCTTTACTTATTTTAAAAAAAATTTAATATAGCTGAAAAAAAGCATTTACTTACGAACTCAGTTTTAATGATTCGTTGCCAAACTGTTTCATTTGATAAAGAATCATCCAAGCAGTGGCGCTAACTAGTCGCCCTTCAGAATCTGTTGTAACCCCGCCCAAAGTTGTTGAAAGATCGATTGGTTCAGCCGATAATTCAGTGTAAAACTTCGGGTAAGTTACATTAAATTTTGCCCAAAAAAAAACAAATTATTACTCAAAAGAAGCTTTTATTATTTATGCCACTTTTATAAATGATAATAATTGACGATCTTGAATTTTTCATATCAATAACTGAAAAAAGTTTAAAATTAGACTAAATTCAGCATTTTGACATTCCTCAAAACAGTTTTTCGTTTCTGAAATATATTAAAGTATAAATTGATTGAAATAGTAGTTTAAAAGTTTATAAACCTGATCATTCTTCGAAAAAATTTCTGCAACAAATCTTGCGTGAGCATTGGAGAAGCAACTATTCTGAAATTCCAAGCAGATATTTTGATATTTGTACTGAATGTTATCAGAAGTAACTAGCGTTTCATTTGCGACCCAATCAATTAGCATAACGAATTCTTTGGCATACTGTTGTCGTAATAAATTGCCCTTATCTTTTGCTTCAGCTACTAAATATAAACCTTTTCTTCGTAATATATCTTTACCTAAAAAATAACGATTATTAGGCCAAAAAAAAGCGCAAAATAAAGATATTTAGTTTTTCTATCAAGCAATTACCCTTGTCACTGTTTACTTTTGTTTCTTATTTTGTTTAGACTTTCTTTCTGCTAATAATTTATCAAATCTATTATTATTCTATAAATATAGCAGAAGATCGAAGTTTTAACGTTTTATCTACTATACATTAATTAAATTTTTCAATTTTAATAGATATTTATTGGTCAAAAAACCGAGTAATTAACAAAGTTGATTTGCACTGTAAACTTGCCGGGATAAAACTGTTCGTCAGTAGCTGCCCAATTTTCATGAAAAATTGCTTCTTCAGATTTCCATTGTGCATACAGTGGTGCATAGAGGTAGTGAACTCCACGTATAATTTTAAAATTAGAAAAGATACCCGTTGACAGTATACACGTCAAAACCGTTGGAACAATGATAAATGGCCATGGATGCCTAGAACAGAATAAAATTAAGAAAGAAAAAAGAAGAGAGAGCATAAAGCCTATTGTACTGCTTTCAGCACATTTGAAAGATCTCAGAAACTGGAGGTGAGCAGAAATGGGAAGGCAGAAAATTAGTTTGCCATGAACACTGTAAAACAGATTGAAAATCTACTCATCACATTGTTGCCTAGACGTTTTTCTGTAAAAACTTTTAGCTAAAAGCTTTTAAAAATCTACGAGGAATATCAACCTGGCAATGAAACGGCAGTAACGGCCAAGCAGATTAGCCCATGGTTTTTCTAGCGAGGCCCATTTGAAGTTTGTCATGTCGTCTCACTGCACCATCAACATAAAACCAATAAATTGCACCTTCTAAAGTGAATTGGTTGAACTGTCAACTTGGAACAGTTGTTGTCTAAATCACGAGAACTAACTGTATTTTTTGAACAATAGGAGATCAAGATGTATGAATGTAAATGTGTTCGCAATTTTTTTTTCGCTAGAAGTACACCAACTAGAATATTATTTGCACCACACGTTTTGGTACAAAAACACCTAAGCTGTATTAATTGCGTGATCGTTCGTTGAAGTGTATTTATCGACCGAAAAAAAAATTTTTTTTTTGTATTGCAACTACTTAGAGTTATTTTCAAAAAACACTTTGGTTTTCAAGTTGCTGGTTTTTTTTATTGGAAATATAAACGTTTCCCAACAAGCAGAGTTCAAAGAATATTGTTTGCACCATAGTTAGTTTACTGTATTCAACAGTATTTGGGTACTGAATCAAACAATAAGCTGTAAAATTTTCTTTAGTATTAATTTAAGTTCAGCAACAAGAAAGAAAGAATAATTTTTTGTGAACAAAGAAATTAAAAGGTACTCCTACTGTTTTGAAAACTTTTTTGAATGTTTATCAAGTATATGTTTTTAGAATTCCGCAAAAGACATAAGGTGTAAAAAAAGTGTCAAAGGTACTCATAAATTAAGATTGATATTATCGTACCAGTTATGAAATTAAAAAATGCATTAAAAAAGCTGTTTGATTTTTACCAAAAAAAAAACAACACGTAATTGACACTGATGTAATGGTTACTAGAAGTTTCTTGCAATAAAAAATTAAACAGAAGCATAAGTGTAGTAAAATTTTCTTGCAGCCATTCTTTTCACAATGCTTATCTCAAAAAGATATACTATAAAAATACAGGTAACTGTACGTAAGTTTATGATTTGTATTTTAGTAAATTCAATATTAGTAACAGATTAATACAGTCATCTGTTAACAGTTAAAACTAACAGTATTCAGAAGTCGACGATGATATTCTAAAATTATTCTGCAGAACATAACCAAAATAGCAAAAAAAGAAGCAATATGCATATTAAAAAAATTCAAGAAGGAGAGTTTAAATTAAGAATTCTATTAAAAAACTTTGAAGTCATAAAAAATGTATAGTCAGTTTAGTAGAAATGATTCTTTTAAACAGTTAGTAACAAACAAACTTAGTCAATTTTCCTTGAACCACAGGTTGTTCGTCTTAATTGTTAGTATCCTTATGATCTTTTAGTTGATCAGTTTTAATTAATTTTCGCTTACAGCTGTCTGAATAACTGAAGAAATTGTTTTTTTAACTACCACTAGATGCTGAAAATAAATATCGAAAAAAAACTTGAATTTTATATTATATTGGAACAAACTTCAAGAGGGGAGAAGGCTCGCCAATATATTTATATTTTTGTATTGTCGTTCAGTAATACCACGTAATCAAACAAATAACAAAAACTGAAGCATTTTTTTCCTTCCTTCAAGTCCTCTTTTCAAGTTTCCTCCCCTCATTGTTATTCCTGTTGTTATAATTGTTATTTTTATTAATATCATTATTATTGTTGTTGTTATTATTACGGCGACAGAAAAGATACCTTCTTTGGTAATAATGCCAAAGCAAAAGAAAACAAAGGGTTTTTTTCTGTTATAAGAAAAAATTGTACTTTTTTCTTCAGCTTCTGTTTTCAGCACAGTGGTTCGTCATCGTAATCATTGTTACCGTCATCATCGGAAACACCCACGTATCTGCATCGTAGACCGTTCAAGATGTTTTGTGTGCCACTACGAGATGGCTATGACAAGGTGAGAATAGAACCTCTTTTTGGGTTACAAGTGGGTACAATGTTGAAATGAACGACCAGTGTCTAGTTTTCTGCAGAATTACGACGAGGAGGCTGAATTGACAACGATTTGTTGGTTACAACATTTATTGCTTTGTTTCCTACATTTTGAATTAAACTCACTGAGGTAAAATACTATTAAAATTTTGGACATTCAGTGATTCATAAACGAAAAATTGCTGCTTTTTTGTGTCATTTGGTTTTCAAATAATTATTCATTTGAAATCAAGTGGACAGGCAAACATTTACTGCAACATGTCGTCAGTTTACCTAACGTCAACAACGTCAAAAATGAGGTCTTCAAATGAAAAAAATTTGTTTTTTTTTTTGCAATTCAAAATGTTGATAAAAATGCAATTAAATTGTTTAATATGGTTGTACCATTTCTGACGTGTTTTGAGGCGCTAAAGTATACTATTAACTTCTCAATAGGTCTTTATAACAAAAAACACTGTTTATACTGTAATTTTTGTTTATACAGTATTCTATTTTAACTGTTAATTAAAGAAAACATTATTAAGAGTTTAAGGCTAAAAGTTTTTTGAACACAATAGAAGAAAATTTGGACTTTGGACTGAACAGGTACCTTTTTAGATGCTAAATCAGGTATAAGCAATTTGAAAGAGCTAAACGCAAAAAATCTATTCAAAATTAGTAATAAATTTCAAATATTTTGCAGTTAAAACTAATTTTTTTTCTGGAAACGCTTTTAGCTAGCTGAAGATTATAAAAGAAATAGACAAGTATCTTACTAATAAAAGCATAATAGACGTAATATGAAATGAAGCAGCTTGCTTGCTACAGGTGCTAAAATGATTCACTTCTTGAGCTTAGAAATTCGGCTTGAAAATGAGAAACGGCTAAGTGTGTAGATTGATTAACCAAAACACTAATCCATTTGTAAGAGCTGGAATTCTACCTATAAACCTCGTTCTTGTTGCTTTCTGTAACAAGTTGCTATGGTAAAAACACACAAATTTAGAAAAACGAAGATCGGATCAAAGATAACATCACCGGAAAGATGGGATGACGAACAACTATACTTCTACAACACACCGCTTCTCTTCTAAATTCGCATTAAAAAAATCAGCTTTTTATCTGCTAACGAACCGTCGACAAAAGTAAAAATATTTTAAATTGTGAAAATTGAAAATTTTATCATATTATTAGTTAAAGCTAAACATTTTTTGAATTTTTAAAAAGAGAAGAACTTTATAATTTTATAAAACAGTAGCGGTCTCCAATTGATTGTCTAGATGAGTAATGAAGGAAGACTAAGCGAATATTGACAGTTATAGTTAAATGTGGTTAATTTTAAGAAACAGTCAAACAGAAAAAAGTAGCAATTTACAACTAGGAAACCAAGTTGAAGCTTTCCACCAGATTCTGTTTCTTTTTTTTCGCCACACGTGCTGGTGAACATCTTTTTCGTTATAGCTTCTTCTTGAAGAAGCGGGAAATAGAAATTCGAAGAAAAAGTAGGTAGGTTTACTACATCCAGCTTACGCCTTGAACAGTTTAGGAAGCACTCAGAAACTGTAGAATAAAATTACCCAAAATCATCATCATGATCACCTTCTGTACTAACAGTTTTTCTTTTTTTAGGTCAAGTACTCTTACCCTCACTTCAAATCTGTTGAACAGCCAACATGATCTCTCAGTATTGCCTATTCAGACTTAGTTTTTTTCTTTCTTTCGCTAAATCTGTCGTCGCTTATCCGACAGTTGTTAACCTTGTTTCGTTCAGCCTAATAACTACTTTTTGTTTTTTGTCAGTGCTACTGTTTTCTTTCCAAAACAGCCTGTTTGACCGCAACATCAAAGTGCTGGCTTTATCGTCAACTTCTCAAATTAGATTAGTACAGAATTACCTGTACTTATAAGTGCATTTCCTCTAAAAATCATTCTTATGCAATCAATTGTCAGCAAACTTATCAATGTCTTGTCAAACGTCATCTCACATAATAAGAAACAACTGGTCATAGCATAATCCTCACTTGTTTGTTCTGTCGTTTTTTTTACCTCTCCCCGTTCTCCCCTCTTTTTACGCTTCCAAATGTTACAGATGAAATAAGTCTGCCTCTATGACGGAATTCTTTTTTCTAAAAAAATTATTATTATTTTCAATTGTTAATGTCATTACCACTTTTATTATCTTCTCTTCTTGATCAGTTAATCTTTTTTGTTGAAAGTTATTATTCATTTGTTTAAGTTATTTGAAAAAGGTACCACAAAAGTCTGTACTGCAATCGTTATTTCTGAAAAGACTACACCTTGGGATTTGTAGTCAGGCAACAGGTAATGATTAGCGACTTCAAAAAACGTATGAAATGAATAATTGCACCGCTTTTTGACGTCTGTAAACACGCGGTATTATATACGTAAATTTCAGCGGTTTCTATTTCTTTCTGTCCTCTTTCTCCCCTTCCAATTTCTTTGGTTAATTAAATTGCTGTTGTTTTTAGCATTGCCCACATTCGCACCACTATTTATATATATGTATAGAAAAATTTATATTACTTTTGTATTTCAGTGGTTCCACTTTGATGTTACATCAGATTTTAAATAAAACTGATTTTTTTTTCTCTCTCAGCTTTCGCAAAAATGTCGACGCTGTCTTAGAACTAAGATTGCCGATAAAATTTGACGAAAAAAGCAGTTGAAAATGTCAGATATGCGCTGTTATCAAGCTCTTTTTCTGTCCAAAAGCCGACTGAAAATTATTGGTAAATGAAAGCCATGCGATTGAACTTTCAGTCTTTATAGTTAATTTTTCTACGCATACACTCATAAAAAAAGGCACTATAAATTGCTAAAAATGAACAGTGTTTACTCAATTTTTTTCATAATTTCCTCTTCATGTAAGCGGATCTAGCAACGATTAAAAAAGCAGTCAAAAAACAATAATCGTAAAGTCTCTCATTTTGGCACTTCTGTTTCTCAGCATTATTGTCACCTGTGCTGTCTCAGTACCATATTAGCTGGCAATTAAAAATTATTCGAGAAACTTTGAGCTCTGGAAAAAACACTCTTATAGAAGCAGATATGACCCATCGTACTCCGGCTATTTTTAAAAAATAAAATTTGATGCGAACGTATAATAACAACACGGTACCAGTTCTTTTACAGAAAAAAAAACACAAATTTTTACGATTCTGCTAATGGTC